AACGCCCTCCACATATATAAATAGAATACTTCTAAGCCCTCCAAGAAAGAATGGGATGTATATACCTTATAGTAAGACGGAGTACAATAGGAGAATACCCGTTACACTTGCCTCCCTCCTGCCTCGACTGGGAAAGGCTGGCTTGCCAGGTCATAAATGCTGCATTTCACAAATTTTCGCCTTTGTAACTGCAAGTACAGTCCAGTCAAAAATATGGTTTTTAATACGAACTTCATGTACTTGAACTCTAGTCCACATTGAAGCAACAGTCCAGCCTGAAATTTATTTTGTAATACTAAACATTATGGAGCCGAAATTTTACATTATATCAAAGAATTGTTTCTAAAATGACAAAAATATGACCTTATTTCAAAATTATGCCAAAATATGCTGTAAAACCAATAAAACTCTAAAATATGCATTTATATGCACAATAAAAATGACATAATTTCAATAAGAATGACTGGAAACATGCATAATTACATTTAAAAATAGGAATAAACACTAGGAAAAAAATATGACATGTCATAGAAATCCGTACCCTAGTGATGATTATGCCATGACAAGCAGTGCTTGGAACTCCAAGCTGAAAGGTAAAGCATCATTATACATGGACAGGCAGTACCAACTAATTGTTACTGCTTCCATCTCTATCTATGGGATCATTACAAATTTGCTTGCAGTGTCCCCCCCCCAAGTCCTGTATATTCTTATATCATTTTCCATGTAACAGTGTAGGAATTGAGGTTCTCACAGCAGCGGTTCTGAAGATTATATCTCTTGGGATGTAAGGCCGTATAGTCTGGTGAAAGTCAACTGATGTTTTGGAGGAAAATGTTGCCTCTGTCTTCAAAATATTGGTTGACTTTCACTGGACTACACAGCATTATACCCATAAGATAGAACTGTTTTTATAGCACATTTACTGTGTTCATAGGAACTTCATTGTCATGCATTTTCAACAATACATTCTCTGGTTACTCATGTATGTATGTAAGGGGTGGACCATAAAAACTGGCCCCCACACTGACTTTCAATGATCTATTGTGCTTCCCCTTGGATTAGCCCTTTATTAATCCTACAGTTTTAATAAAGTGTAGGGCCCTGCTTATGGGGGCATCGTAAAAGTCACTTGGTTCCATAAAAATCTGACCCAAGTGATGAAATCTTAAATAAGCTATTGCCTCACAGTCACACAGGATGTGTGGCTGATTCATTTTCGTGTAGGCACCTTTCACAAGTTGGGTTATCTGTCATTCCAAACTTGAGAAGGTGTCCTTTCAGGTGGCAGTGTCCCGTAAGTAATCCTACCACCCATCTTGGTTGATCTCCGTTTAATCTCAACAGATTCTTCGTTCTTCTGGCAGAGGGTCCTGCTATAAAACCCTTTGCCTGTTTGAGTCAGGTTACTCATGTAACACTGGAAGGTTATTTATTTTATTTATTTTAACACTTCGCGGACCAGTGATTTAAATATTTAAATCACCCTGGGGACCGGCGTTTTTAAACCTACTACCCTAACTTGTGCACTGTTCACTTTAAAAATTAATATAAAATCTCCTAATTAATTTTATGAACTACAATTTTTGGAGAAGACTTACCAGAGCTCCTAGAAGTGCTTCAGAGTGTGATATTTCTGGAAACATTCCCCTCTGTGAAGAGGCATGATGCAGAACTTGCAGATGTAGGACATAGTTTCTTGCAATTTCTTGCCTTCACCGGAATAAATTTCCAGTATAGCCTGAAGTGCTTTCTGTGACTACATGAAAAAGTAGGCCGTACTTTGTGAGTTTCCCAGGATTATACGTTCGAAAATGAAGCCTTCTCCAAGGAATCACAGATTCGTCCAAAGACAGTTGCTGCTCTGGCTTATAAACTGTCTGAAATTTCTCAACGAAAAAGTCTAATAAGGGCTGAATTTTGAAAAGCCTGCCCATTGATTGTGGTTGCAGTTCATTATTATTGAACTGCAAACACCACCATATCTGTTCAAAACTCTTACGACTCATGAGTTTGCCAAAAATGGGAATTTCTAAAAGTGGATCAGTGGACCAGTAGTCTTTCAAATTATCCCTCTTTGTAAACCCAATTAGAATGATAATTGCCAAGAATTTTTTCATTTCTGCTGAAGTGACATCCACCCACTTCAACACCTTATAGGTACTATCGTACGCCTCACGGTGTTGGAAATAGTATCTGTTGGTCTCCTGACACAACATGTCAAAGAAACTATCTCCAAAAAACAGTTCAGCTACTTCAGACACTTGCGTAGGGTCCGATGGCATTTGTCTCACCCCTGGATCACCAGTAAACTTTCCCAAAGTGGGTGTTTTGTCCACTTTACCCCATGTGGCTGTCCCCGCAATGCTAGCACTCGCACTTTCATCGGAGCTCTCACTGTCACTTTCACTTTCTCTTCTGGTGACAATATTTTGGGGGCCCCTGTCACTGCCATTGACACTGCCCTCGCTATCAGAAGACGAAGCAGTTGGCAAGTCAGATAACTCATCGGAGATCAAATCACAGATTTCTTCTTCTCCAAGAGCTCGCGCGGCCTTCAACTGCTTTCGTCTCTGAGCCATGTTGACACTGAGAATATCTTGCCTCACACATAGAAGCTTCGACTTGAACAAAGGGACTTTTCTTTAGAGTGAGAGGGGAATAGAGAGTGGTCACGTTGCTGACTCGGAAAACAAACATTCCGAAGGTCAGCTACGCAGTACTTTTACAGACACGTGGCCACCAAAGCGAGGAATAGTGTGTTGCAACATAACGTGTCCTAAAAGCCTAAATCTAGGCGACCGGTCTGCCACGTTTAAAACCCAAACGCCTAGGCCTAGGCATCCGGTCCACGAAGTGTTAAAGTGCCACAGGTCATTTACAGCACAGAGCCCTTAACTTGCGTTTTATTTCTAGGAATATCATTTATATATATTAGAACCTAAATGTGTAAAAAATAAATGGAGTATTCTTGGTGGCAGTGTTCAAGATAAGAGTTAAGACCTTCCACTTGCAAACAGGCTCACCTTTTTTTTCTTTTTTAAGGATGTCACTGTGAAGTCTGAGCCTAAGTGGGATTGCTATGATGGTTGTGACACCTCTAGTAACCCAGCCTCCAATGCAGAGCAATATGTTGAGGAAGGAAATAGTCATGACATGTGGGACCAGAATTCGGGATACTTGGAACCAGTAGTACAGTGCACAGTCAAGGAGGAACTAGTGGATACTGGTGATGTTGAAATTATAAGTGGCACTGATCCTGCACTCCAGTTAAAGATAGAGTCTGCAGACATGAAAATAGAAGACAGTTTTATTTCACACTCCAGTTGTGAGATAATGGGAAGTACATCTGACAGACAGATTGACATTGTTAGAGATGGAAACAGTGACACATTGGAAGAAAATAAGTTTCATCATAAGTGTCACATTTGCCCAAAGGCTTTCAAGAAGAAATTTCAACTGACAGAGCACATGCGTACACACACAGGTAACTTGCCATATCAGTGCACACACTGTTTGAAGTCATTTGCTCGTAAATTCTCACTTAAAGACCATTTGAACTTACATACTGGTGTCAAACCCTATTCTTGTACTCTGTGTCAGAAAGCATTTGCCAGAAGGGTTACTTTAAATGTGCATATTAAAGCTCATACAGCCTCCAAAGTTTTCAAATGTGAAATATGCCAGAAATCGTTTACTAAAAAGGTGCATTTAGCTGATCACTTGCGACTTCATTCTGGTGACCAACCATTCATATGCAATATATGTGGTAAAGCTTTCACCCATAAATATTCTTTGACTGTACACTTGAGGCACCACCGTGGTGAAAAGCCATATGTATGTTACTGTGGCAAATCATTTTCACAGCAGAGTCATCTTACTGTACATCAGCGGACACACACTGGTGAAAGACCTTACCAGTGCGTAATTTGTAACAAGGCATTCAACCACAATGGTCACCTAAAGGAGCATCTCAAAGTGCACAAAGTATTATGCTAGTTCACTTATATTGACTGTAGAATGGAATGAGGAATGAAGGATACATAATTGATAATACACAAAAAAAAGTGCATAGAAGAAATTTAAGGATTTTAACTTGCAAATGAGGGCAATACTTCAGCTATCAATTTTTATCAAATGGCAATATGTTCCTTTATTTTTGAAGCTGAATTCTTAGGGTCAGGGCACAACAAAGAAACTGGCAACCGCAGCTTCCAAGAAATTTTGAGAGACTGAATTGAGCAGTACAAACTGGGGAAACAGCAACACATCTCATGAAAGACTAAGAAAATCGACTCCTTGGCAACTGAGCCAGCCAGTCTTCTCACAGTTGTGTTGCGTCATAGTTTTCTAGATCCAGCTGTGCCATTATGCTTCTCTGATTCATTTGCTTCTTTAGATGGCACAAAAGGTTAATTTGTGCAATTAATTGAACAGTAGCCTGGTATGTATGACTGTGCTAGGCAGAGCAAAAGAGATTTGGCTTAGGAAAGAATTTCTCATAAGATGAAGGAGTCTGACATATATATATACAGGGTGTTCCTAAAAGAATTGTGGGGTTTTAGATACGTATATATTTCGTATTTCTTACCATGTACAATCATAACATGTGTCAATCGGAAGCTTAAATGTCCAAATTTTATGTACATCCATCAAAATGCCTCTATGTGCGCACCTTTCGTTACGCCACACCCGCTGCAGGATTTCAGGTGTGATGGTCTCCACAGCACGATTGGTTCTGTTTCGGAGATCCTGGAGGGATTGGAGCAGTGGGGTTACATAAACCACGTTCTTCACGTACCCCCACAAGAAGAAATCACATGGAGTTATGTCCAGGGATCGGGGTGGCCACCGGAGAAGGGGGGCATCTTCACCTGCAGCATGTCCAGTCCATCATTGCGGAAGGACCAGATTAAGCAAACCTCTCACAATGCTATGGAAATGTAGGGGAGCACCGTCCTGTTGGAAAATGTAGTCATTGGAATCATTGACCAGTTGTGGAAACAACCAATTTTCCAGCATGTCTTGATAGGTGTTACCAGTCGCCATCTTCCATTTCATGCCTCCTAACTGTTGGAAATGGAAATAGGAAAGAGCGTGATATACAAAATGAAAATTTGAGAGCCGCGTTATGAGTCCATATATGTTTTGCTTTTCATCACCAAAAACTGACGGAGATATACGGCAATGAAACCCCACCATTCTTTTAGGAACACCGGTATATATATAAAATGGGGGCACGCAGTAGCATAGTTGGTTGAGGCACTATGCTGCAAGCCAGAAGGTCACGGGTTTCAGTCTCAGTGAGGTGGATTTTTCAATTGCCTAACCCTTCCAGCTGCACCATGGCCCTGGGGTCAACTCATCCTCTAATGGAAATGAGTACCAGGAATCTTCCTGGGGGGTAAAGGGCAGTCAGCACGTAAGGCTGACAACCTTGCCGCCATCTGTGAGCTGATTGTCTAGGTAATGTGACACCTTCACCATCTCATAACCCTAAGGGCCTTCTTCGCCTGTTATGGGGATAGCTATACCATTTATATATAGTGTGACATGTTGCGCCAAGCTGAGCCCCCCCCACACACCAGCAGTGACGCGGCGGGTGAGTCAGCGCTCCCCTCCCCCTCCACCGCACGGTAACGAAGCCCGCCCCGCCACTCCCCTCCGCGGTGACATCACGCGGTGACGCGGAACTGCTTCCTACTGTGACGTGGAACGTAACAGGCAATCCTGCGGCTATAAAAGTGGACAGCAGAACGGCTACCAGAGTTCTAATGTGGCTACCAGCGAGTTCTACTGTGGCAGTCGGCGACTTCAGTTGTACAGCCGCCGAGTTATAACGTGGCCGTCGCCGAAGATAGTTCCGAGCAAGCTTACGAGAGCGTGTTATCAACAGTTCTCCAGTCAGCGGACTACAGTTGAAACATAGCAGCCTGCGAGTGTGCGATAACTAAGAAGTCAGCGAGCGGAAGACTTATTGTGTGCTTTCCAGACATAGTGAGTGCTGTAGTACGGTTATACCCGGAGTGTGCATTTAAGGGAGACTTGTATAGCTCCCGCGTTAGTAGTACGTGAAGACAAGTGAAGATCGTGTTAAGAGATCTTGGTGTAGGGTTTGTAAAGTGTGGAAACCCGTGATATTGTGATAAGTAATTGTAGCCGTTATTTGTAGATTGTTAAATAAACCCAATTAACCATCTCTACGGCGTCTTCAGTAACGCGAAACACGTTACATTGGTGTCAGAAGTGGGATCAGTAACGTAAACACGTTACAATATTAAAATTAGAACTTATAATAGGATCAAAATACAGAATAGGTCTGCTAAAGCACTGCAAACAAAATAATACACTATGGCCTGTTCTGTGTTATACAAGTCACCAATTAGGTTAGTCCTCATCCATTACAATTATCAGTTGAATTCAATTAATATAACTCCACTGAGATGGAATTATCAGCCGACTGATTTCTCAGGTGCTGTGCCGTCGACAGTCTTTGCTTTCCATCGTCATTTCCTTTATTTAGAATATGATGGCTTAATTGATTTACTGCATAGTTTTTAGCTCCTTCACACAATACCCTTTCCCAGGTTCTAATGAAATTGTGGAGGAGAGCAGATGGTTTAATGATTGAATTCACACTTTCTTCTTTGCAGCATATTAGTCCCTCAGATATCTTGCATTTGGCATTTAGTGTACGGAATGCACATTCTACACTTTTTCGTGCATTAGAGAGTCTCTAATTAAATGTACATCTTTTGTTAGTTAGCATTCTTTAAGGGTAAGTTCTCATTAAATTTATTCTCATAGGAAATGTTTCATATGCTACGAAATAGTATGGAAATATTGTGCCACTCTCATCCAGTGGTAGGGAAGTTGGAAATGGAAAATGCAGTTCTTCCTTCATACTGAAATCTCCTACATGGAGAGTAGTAAATAGGGCATTGGCATCTGCACATGTCAGTAGTACTACCGAAAACTAAGAGATTATTGCGAATAGGGTTATAAAGTGTGAAACCCCGCAACTGTGTTATAATTAATTGTAGCCAAGACTGGTATGTTGTTAAATAAACCAATTAACAATCTCTACGGCGTCTTCAGTAACGAAACACGTTACATTTGGGGGCCTGTCCGGGATATGGAACGTGTTTTGTTACTGAAGACGCCATAGAGATTGTTAATTGGTTTATTTAACAACCTACCAGTCTCGGCTACAATTAATTATAACACAGTTGCGGGGTTTCACACTTTATAACCCTATTCGCAATAATCTCTTAGTTTTCGGTAGTACTACTGACATGTGCAGATGCCAATGCCCTATTTACTACTCTCCATGTAGGAGATTTCAGTATGAAGGAAGAACTGCATTTTCCATTTCCAACTTCCCTACCACTGGATGAGNTTTTACTCGTTCGCTGCTGACTGGAGAACTGTTTTCGGCCACTGATACACTTTAACCCTTTGACGTGGTCATTTAAATTCTGCGGCCGCGGCTCCTGCGGTAATATATTCAGCCGGCCATTTAAATTTTGCTCGAAAATTATTTATTCATCATTGTTCTTAAATTCTATGAGATAGGAACATGAAACTTTCACTAAAATGATCTTAAATGGTGGTTTTATAACCTTACCTTATAATATGGGCGCCCTGTATCTCGGCCATGGAAGCAGGTTGTTTAGTATTTCAGCAGTGAATGGTACGCCTTGAAGGATGAAACTTTCACTAAAATGATCTTAAANGCGTGTGTCATTAAATACAGTCCTCCTGACAACAGGCCAGTGAAAAATCTAACAATCTACAGCAAAACCATCAATTATTATGGGCGTTATAACATACGTGTGCAGCTGGACGAAACATACACGTCGAACCCCCCCAGACGATTTAAATCCCTGACGAAACATACACGTCGAACCACGGCAACGGGTTAACTGTCTCCGGGGAGAGCTACACGTTAACTGGCTTCGTAGGCAGTGTGGTTCACTTATATGGTCGCAGCGCCCGCCTGTTACACAATCGGTACCGCTGTTGCCTGTTACCCGTGTCACAGCTGCGTTGCGTGTTACGTCACCGTGGATGGGGGGAATGGAGCGCTGACTCACCCGCCACGTCACTGCTGGGTAGGGAGGGGTTGTCCTCCATTGCGCAACATGTCACAATATATAGTTGAAGTAAGAGTGATCTGGTTTTAGGAAAACATTTTATGCTGTTATGTTTCCCATCTGTTGAACTTGTACAGTTTGGCAGATTCCAAAGATCAAGATATTTTTCTGCAATGCATTTCCACTTTGATTTGTTTGGTGGTGGCATGAACAGGGGTTATAATGTCCATATTACAGGTGTAGTGTCTGCTAATATGCCAGAAATTGTTCTCTTCCCCCTCATAAACTGAAAACTTAATGCTACGGAACTGCTGTCCATAGCCAAATGCCTGAAAACAGAAACCGCATATCAGAACCGCAGCTGCATTTGCTTACACATAATGACGGTACTTTTCTTCATTGTACATGCGTGCAGTAAGAGAACCAAAATACCCGAGTCTTAATTTCTGCCAAGATTCATAAAATAATTGGTGCTTTATGTGTAGTTTGTTTTAAATAATTTTAATTGTTTCACACTAGATGTTTGTCAGACCAGTTTATCATCTTTTAAGTTGCAACTTGTAAAGACAGATGGAAACATAAGAACAATATTTGTCCGCCATTTCCATGATAAGACTCTGGGTCATCTGCTACTATAAAGTGTCCATATTATTTTCTTGACTCCACACATAATGAAAAAAAGACAGCAGGAAAGCAATTTGGCAGGGCCACATTCTCTGGAGAAAATGATGAGGAGACTTGAATGTAGCACCAAATGAAACCATGCATGCAAGTGTCACGCGATTGGAGAGTCCTACCATAGTACAACAAACTTCTTGTCATCAGAGCATCCCAGAAGATTGTAAGCAGTGGTTAGTTGGCATATGACATCAGCTAACCACCTTGGATCCAGTTGATATGTGCTTCATCGACTACTTGATGCAACTTCAGACCAAATGGAGAATTTTTATACAGTCTTCTCTTGGACATGAAATCAGTGACTGCTAAGGTGAAATGTACATTTAAAATGGGAGTCGTGAATTTAATAGATGAAATATTAGAATATACAGGCTTCCAGAAGACTGAATGAAACATCCACTGTGCGTTATATGACATCTCTTGAAGATGTACATGATAACTACCAGTCATTGCTGACTTATTGAGAAACAGAAAAGTGGGAATTAGGAAACATCGACTCACATTTTGGATAACAAAAATTGATTGTAACTTTGAGTGTAAAAACAAAATGTCAGTAACAGTGGTATGGTATTTGTTTAGATATCTGCAGAATATGTATAGCAATAAGTAGATAAACTGAGCTAACCTGAGAGTAATCAGTAGTTTTCCTTCTGCTGACACAGTTGTACAAAACTTTTTTCGAACTTGACATCCTAGAAAATCCACTAATAGAGAAAAACTTTCAGTGTTCATTCAGTAAAATGATTTGAATAGTTCTGGATCCTGGTTAAGTTCTGAAACAGAGTAAGTACCTGAGTTGAAATCGTCATGAAAGAATGGATGCGCCCAGTGTTTTCTTTTCCCTTGGCCCCTCTTCTTATGCTGCCTCAGACACCACCACATTATGACACAATCAGTGTTATTATCTCTCACTGCAGAAAAGAAGTACATGAAATTAAAAATTATTATCATGTATTAAATCAAATACACCCATTTGAGATGATGTGAGCATCTAATCAGACACAACTTTCCTCACTGTGTGCCTACTAATCTGGAAACCAGTTGCCTGCTTGAAATTGGTTTTGTGTAAGATGCCGTTGTCAGTTTCTTTCATGTGCCCTTGCCTGTAGTGTTTAAATATGTATCCATTGTTCATGACCTGTTTAACATCAGACATTTTGCTGAGATAGAAAATGTTACAGTATTTAGAATGTAGTATGCAGTATTTATCATTTCAATTTTAGCAGTAAATGCAGAGTGTGTGAAATATAGATGGACTGAATTGGAAGATGAATGTTTTGGCCCAAAATATTGAAAACAGGTAATAAAAACATGGATCTGGAAATACTTCAGTAATGGACTAGAGCCATTTTAAGGTGTTTCAAGCAATGGTAAGATTGTAGAAACTGGGTTTGACAAGTTAACTTATGATAGAACACTTCAAGGAAATTGGAGTTCAGAGTGAAAATATTTG